TCAATAGATTTCCCCAATCCCAGAAATAACTAGCTATAAACAGAGATGAAAAACTTCTTCTTTTTTTTTTTTTTGAGACAGAATATCGCTCTGTCGGCCAGGCTGGAGTACAATGGCACAATCTTGGCTCACTGCAATCTCCGCCTCCTGGGTTCAAGTGATTCTCCTGCCTCAGCCTCCCAAGTAGCTGGGATTACAGGCACCAACGCCCACGCCTGGCTAATTTTTGTATTTTTTTAGTAGAGATGGGGTTTCACCATATTAGCCAGGCTGGTCTTGAACTCCTAACCTCAGGTAATCCGCCTGCCTCAGCCTCCCAAAGTGTGGGGATTACAGGGGTCAGCCACCGTGCCCAGTCGAAAAACTTTTTTTATACAAAAATATGCCAAAGCTATAAAATATTTAAGAATGTATTTCACATTAGAGATATAAGATCTGTATAGAAAAACAAAATTTTATGAAATGAAAACATATACTTTTTGAATGAGAAATTGTGATATCTTAATGCTCATTTTAACAAAACATACATAAAATTTTGCATATGATTCCAATAAGAATTTCATTTTTTCAGTGGTGAAGGAAAAAGACAAAGATTTCTATAAAAGGTTCTTAAAATTCCAGTGGGATAATAACAAAGAGTAAATAAAACTGTGATATAAGAAATTACTGTGGAAATATTTGTGCTTTTGATGTATTAAAATAACACAAAGTTTTATAATGTTATTTGTAATATAATAATGTCATTTATGCACTTGAATATAAGTGCATAAATGGATCGCTGAAAATAAAATCCAGAATATGGTAATCTAATTTATTTCAGATAAAATTTTAATTAAACTGAAAACTGATTGTCTGTTTAATACATTATACACTTAACACATTGAAAAGGTGTTTCAAAAAATACCTTTTAAAAATTAAATTCCAGAAAAATTAAAAACCGTTATGAAAATCAATAAAATAAAGCTCTGTAAGTATAATCTAAGTAACAACATTGTAAAAACAACCTGAAACCTGAATGCTTAAAAAACAAACAAAATAAGTAATATGTCAAAAAAATATGAAATATGTAAACTGATACACCAAAATTGGAAAAAAATTAAATGGCTATGTAAGCCAAAATGATGAATTTCCATAAATGATAAAAAAGAGACAAAAAATAGAGTCAAAGAATAAATTAGGCAATCATAGAAGAGAAAGCTCTAATTGTCAATGATAGTATTTAAAAACCACTCAACTTTCGAAGGTTTGCACATCGCTCATCAGATTTATTCCCAAGTACTTCATATTTTTGACGGTATTTTAAATTTCTTGGGCATTTAAAATAATTCAAAAATGAGACTTTTTGTCAAAAAAGTCTTTAAATTTGTAAATCCATATAGATATTAATTTTAAGACATCAAGATTATTGTGACAGGAAATTTTACACAGTTGGTTTATTACAGATGATTTACTGAGGAATAAAATCCTTAATGTGTAGGTAACACAGGCAAAATTATTCAGCAAAAACATACATCTTTTTTGTCATACCCACAAAGAGTTATTGGCTTAGTCTTTTCCGTAGATTAAGGAATTCTCCACCAGACCTACTGAGATACGTAGCATCTCAGTATCCTAGATCTATCTATCCAGATACGTAGGCTCTTACTGGAGACCTAGTAGGTATCCAGTGGACATGCTGAAGTAACATCCTGGAAACACAAGAAAGTTCACTTTTCTCTGCATTCCAAAATATCTTCCATAAAAGCCTATTGGCAGAAACCCCCCAACTTCACTGAGACTCAGTTTTTCATTTGCAAAAACGGAGTGGTAACAACCTGACACATCTTTTGTAAAGCTTAAGTGGGTGATATAATGCCTGAGTCGTATGGCACTCTAGATGGTAAAATACGGAAAAAGTACTTTTCTGCTAGATGTTAGTGAATCTTCTTTTAATAAGACATCCATGAGAAGGAGAAAACCTCCAAAGTTCATGATGGTTTGGCTACCTACTCAGAGAAACTTGGACACAATCAGTATGAGGAATTAATGAGAACAGGAAAGTCTTAGTGTGCTTATATCACGTAACATCTACATGTCAGCAAATCTATTGACAGGCCTTTTTCAGCATAAACTTTGTCAGTCTCTTAATCTTGGCTCTTCTACATCAATTTAATAGGGTTGTCTTAAAAACAAACAAATGAGAACAACGAAAAAGCCGCAACAGATGGTTTATGAAATTGCAGAAGTTTGAAGCAGAAAGAGAGCCATAGAAATAATCTGATCACATTCATCCATTATAAATGTCATCTATAGCTTCCTTGTCAAGATTATCAAGGATCTCCGTTGATTACTTCCAGTGATAAGAAGTCACTTATGAGAGAGGTCATTTCATTTTAATTATCAGTTAAATAATCATTCCACTGAAATCTCCTTCTCTTAATTTTCCACCCAATGGAGCTACCTAGAAAGCATCAAATTTTACTTTCTCTTGACAGTTCCCTTATACGTGAAAACAGAATTAGGGTCCCCATTCAGTTTTCTTTCTTCAGTTAAATGTCTCCTTTTCTTTCAGTGTTATCTCCTCATTTCAAGTAGTTTTCTGGTTTTATAATACTTAGCATACTAGTTGCTCTCCTCTGGATAAATTCCACATTGTCAATTTTACTTTTAAACTTTTATGCTCAGAACTGAGTAGGATATAGCTGCTGTGCTTGATGGAGCAAAGTCATGCAGAAAGTAGCAGTTTTTCTCCAGTGGTTATGCCCAACTGTTTTCATATTCGGCTTTGTCACACAGTCATGCCTGGGGCAGGTCAAGATCCTTCAGATCAAGACCTGGGCTCTTCTAGGAAGTAAAATACAAAGTTTTTACTGCAGAGGACACCTCTGACAGAAGTCTCTCTTTCTCTCTCTCTTTCTCTCCCTCCTTTGCATTTTAAGTTGCACTTTGTAAACAACTAAGTCAAAGCACTATTCAGCCCCTGAAAAATAGAAGCAAGCCCTCTAAATAATAGAATGCGTTAAATAAGAATTCCAAACATTGTATACATATGACACTTGAAAGAGTTTTCCTGAAAGTAGCCTGACCTGTTAAAAACCTTGGTTCTAGCCATAATGTTGATGATATGTTTGAACTCCTGAGGCATACGATCTCTCATGTAGGTTAGGCTGTTAATACAATACCTTATGGCATCTAACAATGACAAAAATCATGTTGCAGTTGAGTCAAGCTTAACCATACCATGGGCAGGTAAGTTTTTATTTAAAAAAAAAAATCCCTACTTGAGTGCCCATCAATTCCGGTATGCCTGGGTTATATTTGTCTCTCTCTGTTTTTCAATATAGGTCCCAAGAGAAAATTGATCTTATTTCCAGTTCCTAATGAAAATACGAGATTTTTAAAAACTACAATGAAAGGTTTCAATTTATAGAGTGTGTATTCTCTTCCTCAAGTTGGAGCATCTGCAATACCTTCCCTCAAGTGAAATGTTCATCTTATTTAGAGGATATTAGGATGGTTTGCTATTTCCTGTGCCTCACGACTGCATACGTATTTGCCAACTGATATTTAATAAAACCATTCAAGGACCATGACATTTCGTTGGATGGCACAGTAAGGAGAGAAGTCTGATGAGAGCAAACCCGTACGGCAGGAATTGGAGGAAGGTACAAGGAAAGTATCTTTGCTTTTGCATTTGGGAGATTCAAAGAAGCAGGTTTTTTGTTTGTTTGTTTCTTAGAAAACAACAAAGTTGTCTCTCCCCCCCCTACTACACAGAACCACTTTCAGAGAAGACTTTTGAAAGCTTCGACAACAACAAAAAACTAAACTAAAACTAAACAAAATATTTCCGGCTACTAAAACAGGGTTTGCTTCGTCTTCAAGATGTTCTTTCACAGCCATGTCCTAGTTATGACAGTGTGGAAAGTCGGAATGACAACCACCAAACCAAACTGGTCTCTATCTTCACCCTCTCACAGAAAAAAAAAAAAAAAAAAAAGCCCCATCTTGGAATGTGCTCTGAAGATTTTCTCATCTCACTGAAGCTAGGAAAGAATTCACCCCAGAGGCTAGAGCAACATGCTTGGCTAAGCTTCCCACAAAACCAAGGGCCGCTTGCCTGAAAGGTTTTCCTTTCATTGGAATCGCTTACGGATATGTCATCACTGACTCATATCTCATAAACACGATTTACAAAAAAAGCTTGTCAGCTGGGTTTTATTAAATTGTAAATTAAAAAAAAAAAAAAAACCTGCATCCAGAATATCCAACAAGCTCAACACCCACAGATTCACTGGCTCATCTTCCAGCATCATGTGGTGGTTGATAAGTCTGAAGAACACACACACCTCATCAGCTCCCATCAAACTCTCTCTGCACCCACGGGAAAGCTCCACATTCACAGAATTCCTCCCACACAGGCCTGCACCCCATCAGCACAAGCAAAGATGAGGATTTACTCTGTGAGTCCAAAGAAAATAAATTGCTCCATTTATACATGACACATGAAAGAAAAAGTCATGCTTATGTCAAGCTAGAAATACACTTTTTAAAAGACAAAATTGTTACTTAAAAAAGGAAAAGTGCTTTGGCTCAGGAATGCCTGGTGAGTGCAATAATTCAATTAAAATGCATTGTTCTGACTCTGGCAAGTATTCATTTGTTCACCAATATTTTAGAGAAGTCTATTCTCATTGGTTCTTTGAGTTCGTGGAAAGCTTCATGTCATGTTATTGGATTGTCTTGTATTTTAAATGATTACTATATAGGCATCCTGGGAAGATGGAAAGACATTAAAAACCCTAAATCCTAGGCACCTCTTCTATCTACTTTACAAAATAGTGTCTACGAAATAATTCAACAGAAGCAAAGGGTATGGAATCCTTAGTAAAACCTGAAATAAGTGAAGAAAATTATGCCTTTCAGAATCTGGAAGGCATTTATATGCCTTTCCACATCAGTAGGCTGGATTTAAACTGCGATGATAGGAGAGCTAGGATTTATAATGAGACCAGTTTAAGTTACTGTGTTGATGATGTATTTTATTAGAGTAGCACTACTGGGGACAAACATCTTCTAAAAATGGATGAAGGCAGCAACATGACAAGTTTGTTTTCAGCTCACATAAGCCTTAAGAATTGTTTTCTTCATTAGTGCATGACTTTCCTTGCAGTTCTGATTCTGGGACCCAGTCTTCTGTCATACTGTGGCTCTGGTAACTTCAATATATGTTTTCCAAAACAAATTATCCAAGGCATCTGGGTGAATCTGAAACTAAAGGCAAGAGCATAGGAAATGACATGTAATCAACTATCATGGACCACCATGGAAATAGCACTTACCACTTCTACACACATCTCATTGGCCGGGACTCGGTCATGTAACCTCACCTGACTTTAGGGAACACTGGAAATGTCTCCTAGTTGTATGCTCAGGAGAAAAAGAGGATGGGTTTGGTAAACAGCAGGCCAGTTTTTGCTACTTAAGGAAAAGAAGAAATTCCCATTCTACCCTCTTTCCTCTTCCAGTGAGAAGGCATGACAAGGACCACAGCTCATCCTCATTCAGTGTGCAGCAGACATTTAGGAGAGACTTTCATCAGTGATTCCAGAGACTGTTTTATTTCAGTTCCTCTCCCGAGAGTTCTCTTAACAGAGAGTAAGTATCAAAACTGGAGCTTCTGATAATTGTACCATGGGCCTGGGCCTTGGTATTCTGAATAATAATTACTAAGGCATTCTGCTGAACTGGGTTTTTAAGATCAATTGTATCTGAGTTGCCACACCATGGAATGTCTTTCTGTGATTTTTTTCACTGTCAAATCTAAGTGTGTTTGATCATGTAGACAACCTTTCTTTTGTTTTTCCATTCCTTTCAAAAAGTAAATTGAGACAGCTTACAAAATAAAATTCAACAAGTAAATAATAGACCCCTGGACCTTGAAAATGGAATATTATTGGTAATAAAATTAAATGAAGATGGGGGTGAGAGTATTACATTTAATGTATACATGCATGTCTTTAAAAGAGAGGGACGAAGTTGAGGGTTGTAAATAAGCTCATTTAATAGTGGCCAAAGCAAAGAATGCGACCTCAAACATAGGGCCTGTAATTCTCTTTCATGCTGCCCTGATGTGCTCTTTCCTGCCAGGGACTCCTACATTTCCCTAAATCTGTTAACAGCAAGAACAGAGTAGAGGGGAAAATTCTTGAAAAGAATACTTAATATGAGTGATGAAATCAAGTGCTAAATTTAAAAAGAAAGGAACGGGATGGGCAATTATTATAGCAAAAAGAGAAAAGGAAAAGTGAAAAACAGAGAAAGAAAACTGGCAATCTAACTCATTTTTGACTAGAAACAGGACACAAGAAGCAAACTGGTGGTGATGTGTTGGAGGGGGGAGGTGGTGGTGTTTAAGCAAGGATGTCAGACTCCCCAGATTAAACTAGTGAAGAACAGGAAGGGAGAAGGAGAGGGAGAAGAGGCAAAATGCACAAAACTCCATAAAAGGGAGCTGAGTGTCCATGTGTTTGAATAGATGGATATAAATAGAACATCACAGTATTCGGAATGTTTGTGGAACTCCTTATGATAACAATGAGCATCCTATTAAAAATAGGATGCTTACCTTCCAAATTCTATCAAAACGTAACAGGAAATAAATATTAACCAAAGTACCAAAAAGCATAGTAAAAATGGAATGAGTTATTGTATATATCTGCAATGAATGTCTTAGCACAAAATGGGAGTTCAACTAAAAAAAACAGAAATGGTTCAAAAATTTATGGTGTGTTTTCTGAATAAAATACTACATAGCTATTAAAGAGAACATCGTGGAAACACCATAACAACAAGTCTAATTGTTTATTATTTAGTAGCAATAAAAAAGGAAGGGTCAAGAGGATATGTATGCTGTCATTACAACCGTGTAAAACAACTGTGGACAACAAATAAAAAAAATTGTGAAAAATATTATGTATTGAAGATCATGGAGATAGAATTTTTATTTAAATAGTCTAACTGGTATATTATTATTTCAACAAGAATAAATAGAGACAGAGAAACAAAAATAAATACTGTCCAATATCTCTTAGTGTTTGACTTAACAAGAGTGTCTGGAAGTGTTGGGGGGACCAAGTTTGGAGCATTACCGTGGATTGAAATTGTGCTCTGCTAAGACTGGGATGAACATGCACAGAGACACCCTGGGCAGCTCTGCTCATGCCTTTGTCACCCAGCCTGACCCTCCCTTGCTCAAGTTGCAGAGAGGTCCATGTGTGTTCAGTGGTCCCAGCAGGACCAGAAGCATCAAGGGCCTCCTTGGCCATCCTTGGCGCCTGTGGCCATTCCTTCAGCTTCTGCCTCAGCTTCTTCACATGCCAGTATCAAGGAGGGAGATAAATTATGTCCTCTGGGCTTCAGTTTCCTCCTGTGTCAACCCAACAGCTTGGGTGAGGATTGAGGGGAGTGCAGTACTCTGTAAAGGAGAAAGTACCATTAGGTACAGATGGGAGCTGCATGCTTCCACCTTGCCACTGTCCTCTTTTTACTTCTCCTTCTCTCTATCTCTTGCTCTCTCTCTCTGTCTCTATCGGTCACACACACACACACACACACACACACACACACACACAAGCATTTATACATATTCATGCACTCCTTCTGCTCTATGTATCCTCAGCTCTGTCGTTAGTGAACACAGGTTGCTCCCTCTTGGCTCCAAGAAGGACGTGCTATTATTTTTGCTTGCCAAACTCATCCTTCAAGTTCCACTGACGCCTCCTTCATTTTATCTGTCTACTAACCACTTGAAATGAATGCTTTTTGTTGTTGCCATTTATAGGACAGAATAATTTTGCACTGTGACAAGATTATTCGTCTGGAATTTCAGAAATCCCCATATACCTGGAGAGACTGATTAAGGGGATCTCTGCAATAAAGTGCTGCCACAGGTTGGTCACCACGGGAAGCCCTCTCAATGTTTCAAAGCACTTTGAGCAATATTCATTTTATTATTTAAAATAAAATATTTTTAAAAATATTATTAAAATGTATTATTTATTATTAATGCCATCAAAACTCAAGGAGTCAAGTAGAATGGAATGCATTACTATAATCATTTTATAAACGAGGAATAGGAGGCCTAGATATATTGCAAAACACATGTAAGATTAATATCCAGTCAATGGCAGAACTGGGAATAGAATTCAGGACTGTCTGGGCCTCGGTCCTAAGCTCCCTGAAGTACACTTGTGTTTCCCTAATGCTGATTATTACGGCTCTACGAGGTAGGAGGTTGTGTCTATACTACTAGTTCTCAAACCGTAAGGTGTATCAGAGTCACCAGCTGGTAGGCCCCATCTCAGACTCTCTGATGAGTTTATGATTCTGCAGATTTGGGGTAGGCTTTGGTCATTTGCATTTCGAACAATTTTCCCAGGAAATGCTGATACCACTGATGACTTTGAGAACTACTCATCTCTATAAATCCTTGGAGTTGCTGAAAATAAACTATTGACCAGCCAATTCTATCAATTGCTTCTCCATCAATGACATTTTTTTAAAAAAGTCACTATTCCCAATTGCAATGGTGCTATACTTTTCCTGGTCAAGTTTCCCAACTTACAAAATGCCTTCGGATATTGTGTTTAATGGAGTGTGTGGTGGGGAAGGAGTTGCCAAATGCATGGGTCTTTGGCCCTTATTAATATTTAGAGTTTCCTGAACCTTAAGAAAAGCGGGGCTCAACAGCATGGTAGAGAGACGTGCTGAAACAAACAGAACCATTCAGGGCAACAGGAACGAGCTAACGTGTACGTTAAATGTTAACTCCCTTTAAAAATAAAATAACACAGAAAGTAATCTTCGCTGGGGAAATAGATCACACTAGATTAGGCAAATGTTGTTGTTTCAGGTGGCTAACCTTATTGCTCCAAACTCGAGCCTGGAGTTAAAAAACAAAACCACGAGCTGCAGGGTCAGTCTACAGTGCAGTAGTTTGAATCCAGTCCTATTAACAGTAACTTAATACTATGAATTCGGGAAGTTTGGACTTTGGCCCTCTTGCTCAGGAGACCTTAAAAATAAAGATAGCTGCACAGTGAACATGAGCCACCCGCTTATTTTCCATTAGGTACCTGGTGAGAGATATTTATTTCGCCTGTTGTCTGCTGGATGATTTTTTCCAGGGTCAAAAGTACGATTGTGTACTGGGTACACAAGTGTGGAGTTAAGTATGGGGGGCCCTAGAACGGGAGCTTGAACAGATGCTCTTGGAACAGTTGTACATAATTCACTCCTCTTGGAATTTGGCTTCCCCAGTACAACCTCAGTCATGTGAAACATTAAGCCAGGGTGGATGGTTGTCAACTGCAGAGCTTATCCACTGCGCTGCTGAAAGGCCAGCAACGGGACGCTGTCACGGTGGACAGGTTGCTATGCTGAGAAAATTATGGCCACCACACACATTAAGCAAGAGATCTCAGCTCCGAAAAACCCGATAAAACCCTCAAGAGCGTGAACAGGGAATAGTTGTCTGGAGAGAGCGGAGAAAGGCACCACAATGATTCAGTTTGATGATCTAAACAAGGAACAGACACACCACCACAAAACCTGGTCATAATTGTCTCTCTCACAGACATCAACATCTAGCCATGCTGCACACTGTTCATTTCCCAAGGGTCTTACCCTTGGACACCTTCATTAAAACACTGAATTATGCTGCGCTCCTCCTGTCCTTTGCATTCCATGAATAAGCCATGCCTCTGCTAGTTCCAGCCTGAAATTTATGGGGTACCTTCTATACACCAAGCATTAGATTAGTGAAATCCCACAATGTAAGGTCAATGTCAATACCTTTTTGAAAGACGTTATTCGAATCAATTTACAAATAAGAAAGACTAAATGATAGGTTTAGTAACTTACCCAAGGCGAAAGAGGTAGGAAGCATGAAAATCAGAATCAGAGTCGTAACTGGTTGCAAAATACCTTGGTTGATATTTTAGACATTGTTCTCTCTGCTTATGATGTTTTTCCAGTTGTCTGCCAAGGCAACATCATCTTTTTAGTCCTGGTCACAGTCCAATGCTATCTCTTCCGTGTGGCTTTCCTGGAACCCTTCCTCTGACCAAGCACAGCTGCTTACGCTTCGTTCTTGCATCCTCACAGCCTTTGTGTGCACATAGAGTATATATCACAATTATCTGCAATTATCTACATGTTTATCTTCCAGATTTCATATACCATGCATGCTTAAGGACACTTCACCTCATTTATCTTTACGTATTAAATACCTGGTGCTCAATAAATATATGTTGAATTAAACTAAACTATACCTCTAATTATAACACCATTCAGAGTTGGCTTCTAGGTTGGGCACGGTGGCTCACACTTGTAATCCCAGCACTTTGGGAGACCGAGGAGGGCAGGTCACTTGAGGTCAGGAGTTCGAGACCAGCCTGGCCAACGTAGTGAAACCCTGTCTCTATTAAAAGTATAAAAATTAGCTGAGTGTTGTGGTGGGCACCTATAATCCCAGCCACATCAGGAGGCTGAGGCAGGAGAATTGCTTGAAGCAGGGAAGCAGAGGTTGCAGTGAGCCAAGATTGTGCCACTGCACTCCAACCTAGGCGACAGAGTGAGACTTTGTCTCAAAAACAAAAAACAAATGAAAAACAGAGATGGCTTCTAATTATATTGCATAAGCAAAATTGCTCCTTAGGCTTAAGTCTAATTGCTTACTATCCACATAAGGCAGACCCAGAAGCAAATATCACATGGAACCCCTGTTGAGGACCTGTAGCCCATTGTTTATGGCCCAAATGCAAAGCAAGAGGCCACAAATTAGGAAAGCTGAACAAGGATCAGTTTAAGTCCTGCTGGGCAGGAGTTGCCATTACAGAGACAACAGTTGGCATTGGTGATGCATGTGGAGATTCCAAGTGTTCTCACTGTGCACCCTGCAAGCCTTACCTTAGGATGCAGATTGTCATAGTTCTCTTTTAAAGATGAGAAAAGTGAAGTTCAACGATGAATAAATTATCCAATGTCATGTAGCGAATACGGTACAAGAATATGATTTTGAGCCAGGTTTTTACACACCCTAACACTTTTGTATAAGCCAATTCTATCTTGAAGAATTGAGATCAAAGACAATAGGTATGTTTCTAAAAAAATGGAAACTAAAAGCAACGAGAACAAAAACAAAAACAAAAACAAGACAGTGTGAATGCCTAGTGTACCTAGTGTTAGAAAGTGAGATTCAGCCAAGAATTGTGGAAACCCAAATATCCAGCTTCTTGTCTTGTCTCTCTGCCTGCTAGTAGTGTAACATTGGCCAAAACAATTACTTTCTAGAAGCCTCCATTTTCTTTTTGAACCTCTATTAAACAAAAATAATCATCTGAGGCCTTCTTTCCTTAAAGAAATACACGATATATGGAGCTGATCCATCTTAAACCTCCTTGTAAACTGCAAAACACTCTAAAAGCCAGAGTGGCAGTTACAGGTGTTTTTACCTCTTGAAGAATGATGAAATGGGTTGGGACAGTCATGGTTCAATCATTTAATTATAAATAAAAAAATTCCTGCACACGAGACTTGCTAAAGGAAATACTTTTATTTCTTTGCAGAGTCTCTTTTGTACCTTTAAATTTTATCAAATATGCAAAGGGCATGATTAGTATTTACAGGCTCCGTCTAAATTTGAGATGAGAAGGAAGTTATGAACATATTGGATGAAATTCAGACTACAAGTTCTGGAGGAAAGAGAAGCAGTCTGTTGGCAAAAGTGTGTGCCTTGTTGGAATGTGATGTGGGTGGCCCAGTGATCCTAGGCGCTGTTTGCCCTCACATCTGTAGTCCTGAGCTGCCATTGCTCCTTCTTCCCATGTAGGAGAGATGTTCTGCTGATTTCTGGGATAGCCAGACCCATGTACACAACCTGTGGATTTCAGAAAACTGCGTACTCTGAGGTCAGGAAACATCCCTTTGCACACTTGGCCTCTGGACTTCCCTCCCGCTGGCTCCTGAGTTACCATCACAGAACTTTAGTCTCTTCAGATTACAGGCCACAGACATCCATCAAAGATCGTTGTCTGTTTGTTGCTTAAACAGGGGAGATTGGCCAGAAATTTTGTTTTGAAATCATCCTGGAAACTGTAAGCAAGTTATCTCAGAATGTAAGAGGGCATGAAAAGAAAAGCCATTTATGAAGGTTTAATGACACATTGCACTTTTGAAAAGAGAGGAAGAAATTTATGATGACCCTAAATGTAGAGTGTGGAATAGACAAATGGCTGAACTAGAAAATAGAGAAGGAGGATTAACTTAGGAGAGGTACTGGGAGAATTTAAAGAATGCAGCAATTTTAGTTATGTTGGGTTTGGGGACCTGTGGCACACACAGATATAAATGTCCATCAGGTGATTACATATAGACAGGTGTGGGGTTTTTATGCAGAAAGGTAGATTGGTAATTCTCTCTCTCTCACACACACGCACACACACACACACAGAGCAGATAATAACTTCTCAATGACAATTATTCATTCATCCACTACTTTGTCAATTAATAATTTCTTGGAGAATTCTCTTTTCCAGGCACAGTGCTGACTCCTAGGAATGTAGAAATTAATCAGACAGAGCCATCCCTGAGCTGGCAGTGTAGTAGACATTAACAGTTACAACTCCAACTAACACAGATACACATGGGGCATCAGAGAGCACAGAAGAGATGTAATGTGGAACTACTGTGTTTGCCTGAGATGACATTTGAGCTGAATATCAGAATGGGAAGAAATTCACTGGTGGATGTGGGTGGGAACAGTGTTGCAGGAAGAGGAACTGTCTGTGCAAAAGGATAAATTTTTTAAAAGCCTCTATGTTCGGACTGGCTTGTTGCCTTAAATAAAAATATCAGCAGAAGGAAAAGCAGCTCTCTCTAGCGTGAGTGAAAACTTCCTTGGAGCAGAAGTAGACAAGGATCATTCTCTGCCTGAGTGTGGACAGTCCCCAAGGACTGCAATCCCCCCGAGCTCTGTCTTGCTCTGGTCGTCTCTCTCTCCTCAGGCTCCCCCAACAACTGATGTGATTCCCATTAAATGCAACGTTGGAGAATCGCACATGTACTAAACGGTTATGCAGGTGACCAAAATACGCATTTGGGGAGCTTACAGAGAGAGGAAGACAGAAAAGCAGAAGGCCTTCCCGTCCCAGGTGCCTTCTTGAAGCAGTGATGAAGTGCAGCTCTTTCTGGTTTGCAAATTCAGAATGTCTGTTAATCCTTAGCCTCGGGTTCTCTACCATGCCACAGTGGAAGGTTTGCTGAATCTGTGTTTAGTGTGTGGCAACACATGGCTCGGAATTTTAAAATATTTCAGTGCTGCAGTGATTGAGTAACCTAAAGTTGTTCCACATGGTTGATAAAAGTCTCATCAAGCAGAGAGGTCTGGGCTTTTTCTCGTACTCTAGATTCTTGTACTCTGCAGATTGCTTTTTCTGCTATAGCGCGCAATCAGCAACTTCAGAGTGTATCATCCATCCAAGGGAGGGAACACAGTATCTGATTTCACTCAGATCAAGTCCAGCGACTTGCCTTTTAAAACAAGAGATGGCCAGCTATTTCGAAACTTAAGTCTTCTTTTTAAACATCTTCATAAAAAGGAAACCAAGAAACTTTTTTTTCTCATGTTCATCGAAGCATTATTTACAGTAATCAAGCTATGGAAACAACCTACGTGTCTGTTGACATCACGAATCTTACTTACTCAGGGTTCTGAGAGGATCTGGCAATTATACTCAGATTTCATTTTAATTTAAAGAAAATGAATAGAAACAGTTGCAAACGCCACTTGCTGTTATTGTTTTAAGTGTACGTTTACAAAACACTGTCTATTAAATAGACATAATTTGCCTTTATAAGAAAGATAATAAATAAATTAATGGACAGGAAACATACAAACTTGATCACAATATTGGAGTAAAGAGATCACTCTGCTTTTTGAAAGGGTCTCTTTTTTGTCACAATCCGCTTATTCTCATATGCGAAAGTGTCACTGTTGTATAAATAGGTCCTTGGTTATGAAGAAAAGAGGCCATCTCAGATTACCCACAGAATGAATCTTAGATTGCCCACAGAATGAAGAGTTGGAGGGAAACTCAGTGACCTGTCCCTTTTTTACAGATCCTATGCAGTGGTGCAATGAAAAGAAAATGAAATTGAAAAGCAGAATCTATCACTGAACAATTGGGGTGATTTTATTTCAACACATCTGGAATAGGTATTTAAAAGGGTCAAGAAAAAATATAGTTGAAGAGGTGAAAGTGGGGCAAAGGCAATGATTACTAAAGGTTGTAGATGGTGGTATAAATGACATAAATTTTGAAATTAAGCCATGTTGGATTTGACTTTCAGCTCTGCCATTGATTAGCTGTTTAACACTGGCAAGTTTTATTTTTTGTTTTCTTGATTCCTTGCAGCACAATTTCCCCAGTTGGAACTTGTGGGATTTTTATAAGCATTAAATGAGTGACTATATGCAATCAGTATGATGATTAGCTGATAGTTGGCACTTTGGAGTTGGAGAAACCAATAGCTAACCATCTCTTTGTCAAGGTTCAGAACTGACAGAGAGACAGTCATATGACCCAGAGAGATGAAATTCAAAATATAGTGAGAAAGGCCAAGTTAAAAGATATAACTTAGTTTTGTGGCCACAGTTTGCTTCCCATACTGATTCCTGGAATTAGACAGACACACTCACCTGGTCACTGTCAGTACTGGCCTCCTTGAGCAAGAACACAGCATATCTCTAAAAGTCTATCCTCTCTGCAGGCAGGCAGACCCAAAAAGAAAGGAAAGAAGAGGTGGGGCTCTTCACTCTGCCTAGAATCACCTGTAAGATGCCTCCTGTGAGATGCCTGCTGGTGCTGGGCGCTATGGGGGAGAGAGTAGGGCCAGTAGAGGAGGAAATAGTGGGACTTCATCCCTACCTTAGGAGATTTTACACCTGGAAAGGGGAGCATCTGCTGTGAGAATCCAGTGAATAATTAATATGGAAGATGCTATTACATTTTAACAAGGTACTATCAAATGCTCCATAATATATAGACTAGAATTGTTAAATAAAAGTTAATCTTGTATGCAAGAAGACCTTCTGACTTAACTTTCCCAAACCCCAAAAGCAGGGAAGATGGGAATGTGTTGACACGACTGTGTGTCCCCTCCCTTCTTCAGAGCAGCCTTTCTTTTCTCTCCAATTTGCACTTATACATTGCCTATTGTTTGCACATAATATGTTTTAGGTTTTTCTTATTGCAAAGGGTATAAGTTGAAGATTTTTAAAAAATATATAACAGGTAAAAAGGAAAGATTTTGAAAATTTGCCTTGGACTCGAATTGTGCTTTAATTTACTTTGACAATAACCCTTTC